CTTCTAATTGACCTTAATAAGATGATAATTTAATGATTAATCAAATTTGCATAATGAATCGATTGTTGTTTTTTCTAAAATTTATATTAGAAATATTAATTTTAAGACGTAGGAACTTCTAATTGACCCTAATAAAATGATAATTTAATAATTAATCGAATTTACATAATGAAGTGATGGTTTTTTCCAAAATTTATATTAAAAATATTCATTTTAAAACGTAAGAACTTCTAATTCACATTAATAAGATGAAGATGATTGATAATAAATAAATAATAAGATGATCGTTCATTGAGATGTTATTTGAATGTCATTTGGCAACGTTAATCAAGGTTCCCTATCGAATGAGCTTGAAACATTCTTCTTTCGAACCAATGTGTCGTTCGATTGACCTACATCACGACACAAACACACATAATTTGTCAACTATCGATCGTAACACGAAGGGATCGTCGTATATGCATTGTACCTGACAACTACAACTACAACTACAACTATAAACRAGTAACGACAACGTGCTTTTCACTTTTGTGTGACCACTCTTTTTCTCTTTCATCCCATCTCATCTCATYTCATCTCAACTCAACTCATCCCATCACATCTCATTTCATTTTATCTCATCCCATCAAAACCCAACAACCCATTTTGTCACTTTTGCTCAAAATACCTCTCAGACTAGGCGAGAAAATCTTTTTTTTTTTTCTTTTTCTTAAGATCTAATTAGTTGATCCACTTGAAACCACAAGAAGCAAACGTTTAAGTGCATCATCTAATCTTCAAGTTACTACTATCTACTATTTCTCAAAAGAAAATCATCTATCTTGAAAGGAATCAAAGTTACGAGATGATAAAAGGAAAATATAAAAGGAATGGTTTTCATTGTATCGATGGTTAAGGGCTGCGAGAGGGGATACATCTTTTACCATCATTTTAAAAGCTCAAATCTTATCAGATTTTTTTCCTGTTTTCTTTTTTTTCTTTTTTTATCTTCTTTTACTTATAAGATAAATCATATTATAGGAAAAAGAAGAACACAATCCTTTCATTTATTTTATTCGAAACTCACTAAAATAATCTGAAAAATTATTATAATCTTTTAATATCTTTTTGTGTATCTTTAAACATACAAAGTGCAATTGCAGTTGTATTATCGATCACTGTCGTAATTTAAAGGATCATTGAGATTTAAAGGATGTAAGGTTAGAAATAAAATCGATAGGACAATTATTTTATTTCTTTTTTGTTTCTTTTTTTTTTCTTTTTTTTTTTTCTTTACGTTTATCGCATATAACTTAATTTTTCTTTTTAATATATTAGATATCGTTCATATAATATATGACTTTCGTGCTACTGTAAATCGTAAACGATCTTCTACATACGTGTATACATATATATACATATACATAAAATATATAAACTGTATCATCTCACTTCGTATTCGTAATTAATAATTTACAGAACATATTGTACAACGCAACATCCCATTATTCTTCTTACTTGTTTTTTTTTTTTTTTTCTATTCTTTCACACAACCCATCATCATCATCATCATCATCATCATCATCATCATCATCATCATCATCATCATCATCATCGTTATCATCATCATCATTATCTTTTTCTACATTTTATTCTTCATTCATAATCACATCTTTCTCACATATTTCTCAATTATTTTTCTCGTCTCTTATCTTTCACCGTTTTGTTATTTTTTATTTTTGCTATCAAGTGAAACAGAGATTAAAGAGTTCCTTGATCGATTATAATAATAATAATAATAATAATAATTAAATTTAAAAAAAAAACAATAAGTTTTATCTTCGTAGATACAAAAGGAACAACACGTAGAAAAAAAAAAGTGAGAATTAAAAATGAAATTACGATCGCACATTCACTAAACGCATCTTCCCTATTTCTAAATAATAATAATAATAATAATAATAATAATAATAATAATAATAATAATAATAATAATAATAATAATAATAATATGTATAAATCTTTTTTTTTTTATTTTTATATCGATCGTTAAAGTTTCGTCCTCGGTTTATAAAAAAAAAAAAAGTAAGAACAAATAATTGAAATTAAAAATTTAACAAACTTCTCAAATGAAAAGATTATTATTTTCTTGATTTTTTAATCTTATTTTATTTTAATATATATATATATATATTTTTTTTTTTTTTTTTCCATTGCAAGTACACACGATTACCTTTTTTTTCAAAGCTTACTTCATCTAGGAGACAATTTTTGTAAGATAGATTTTTTTATAGTTTATTTAAAAATTTCAAGTTTTGCAATATTATTATTGGTCCTTATGATAAAATGTGATTAGTATGATCAATTTTTTGGTAATGTCTTCTTTCCATCCTTTTAAGTTTAATTGGAAAGTTGACAAAAATGTTTAACATTGTATTTGATGTCATCATAAATATGTCAATTGTTATATCGAACTATATATGTATGTGTAAATACAATACAGAGATAATTAATTAATTAAATACAATAATTTATCAGATCCTTAAATCCGATTATTTTTTTTTTTTTAGATTATTATTATTATAATTATTATAATTATTATTATTATTAATGTAATAATTAATATTATTATTATTATTATTATTATTATTATTATTATTATTTTTAATAATTTGGACACGATTAAGCTTATGAAAAAAAGTGATATGTGTTTGAATTTTTATATATATATATGATACACGCACACATTCAGTGCGTTCCTTTTTTATTTTTTTTTATTTTTTTATTCTTTAATTTTAATTTATGTATTTATTGATTTAATTTATTTTGTTGTTTCTTTTTTTTTCTATTTAATAGTTATTAATTTTCTGAATAATTTTCAATCGTCACAATAGCTTCTTAAATTTTTTATTATTAAAGTTAAGCGTTAAATGATTTTTTTTCTTTTTTTTTTTTTGTATTTTTTTAGAAATTGTTGCCAAAGACAAGATTTAAAAAATAAAAACAAAAGAAACAACAAGATAAAAGCTGTATAATACATTTATATCTAACATCATTTTCAATCGTAGTTTTACATCAATGATATTATAACATTTAAAAAAAAAAAAAAATAAAAATGATTTGTGGTGTACAAGAATAAAAAAAGAAAACAATACAATTGTACATGAAAACAAGAAAATACTCGAGACTGTGACTTTTAAAAAATGGCAGCAACCATATTGGCTGAAAAGTGTTTAAATGAAAAAAAAAAAAAAAAAGAAGAAGAAATTCAATAAAATTGAGAAAAGCAAACGGATAAGAAAATAATAAAAAGTTAAGGACGATAAAAGAGAGACGATAAATTCTTAAATTCGATATTATCGAAGGATTAAAAATGAATTCATTATTTAAACAAATATTAACGAGGAGAAACAATAAAGTATAGTGTTCTCGTAGTCGATTTGCGATCAACTTTTTTTTTTTAACATCGTCTATGATTAACCAAAAAATCATTTTTAATATTTATATTAATGAAATATTTGTATAAATCAAAATAATCCAGGATTTTGGAAAATGCCATTAATTTTTTTTCCTTTTTTTTTTTTTACAAAGCTTTTTGTTATTGTTTCTTTTTCTTTTTTTGTTTTTTTATTTTGTTTTACAATAAAATGTATAAGTAATTTTTATTAATTCTTTTTTTTCCTTAATCACATTGAAGAAAATAATGAAACAACGTAAATTGTACGTAAATTATTTTATAATGAAAAGAAACAATTTGAGCAAGTGAATTTTAGTTGAACATAGACGATTCATTAATGTGCACTTTGGTATACGAATACATATATATATAATATAATTAAAATTACACTCATCACATACATACATACATACATTTATACATACAACACATGCATAGAGGGGACACGCATAAAACGTACGATCAGCGTCATTATATGCACATACAGTTTTACATCCATTGATTTTTCTTTTTTTTTCTTTACAAGATATCGTAATACGCAAAATTTTTATTAACAAGCAAGACCAAAAGAAAAAAAAAAAAGAAAAAAACAATTAACGCCAGAGAAGACCAAAAAAAAAAAATAATATTAATAATAATAATAATAATTTAAAAAAACGAATCAGATCAGTTGTACGTAAAATCTTATTTTCGTTTTTTCTTTTTAATTTGTTGTTTTATTTCAAAAATGATTTCTCTAATTTTATCGTAACCAACAAATTTTAGTTATAGTTTTGTCAAATTATTGTTTCCTTTTCTTTATCTTTTTCCTTTTGAATTTCTGTTTCTTTTTATTTTTGTTTTGTAAATGTATGTTATTTATTTATTTATTTATTTATTTATTTCTCGTATCATCCTCTCCATCCTCTCTCGAACATAGAAATATTGTCATTAGTATATATAGGTACGATATACGGGTCAGGTACAATAGTAGCATAACTCAGGATCGATCATTTGTCTTATTTCTTTTTGTTTTATCTTTCTTCCTTTTTTCTTTTTTTTTCCTTTTTTTTTTCTCTTTTGTCGAAGAGAGAGAGGACGAAGATCGAACGTTCTCTTATTTTATTTGTTTATTTCATTCAATCATCATATTTAATTCAATTAATTAAATTAAAATTATAATTAATCAATTAATCAATATAGTATCGATCTTTATATATATTGTTGTTGTTGTTGTTGTAATTGTAATTTTGTTTTCATTACATTTAGTTATATTCATTTGCAACGAATGATCCAAAACAAACGTCGATGATGTTTTTGTATATTTCTTTTTGTTTTTTTGTTGTTGTTGTATTTGTGTGTTTACTCTCTTTTGTTTCATATTTATAAAAAAAAATCATTTTTTTTTTTTTATTCGTCAAAGTAAATTGTAAATATAATATAATATAATAGGAATAAGATACTTTGACAAAATATGAAAATAATATAATAAGAATGTAAATATAATATTGCGAATGACGAATAGAAAAGAAAATTTCACCCTATAAACGCATATACATATATATAAATAAATATATATATATATATATATTAGTTCAAAATGGAAATTTTCATTACGTTCGTCTCTCTTGTCAATTTGTATTAAATCGAAATACGTTTTATCATAAACGCTTTTTTACAATGAAGCTTTGCTTATTTTGTTTTTTTTTTTTTTTAGTCATAGGACACTGATAAATATATGTATATATGTATATATAATTATTGTTTTTTTAATGACTATTGGTCCGCCTGTTCGTTGATCTCTTCGTTATCATCGTCTGATGGTGTTGACGTCCTATCGTGATTCGTGCAATTTTCTGTCGAACATTTGGATTCTGCTATTTCTATCCAATGACGTTTGTTATTTCTCACACCTTCTACCAAAGGTTCCAATTTTTCCGATAGTATTGCAAATGCCTATAAATAATAACGTGTAATTAATTATTAAAAATTAATTTTAACATTTCTAAATCAGAAATGCAACTATGGGGGCTTGGGGAGGGGGAGGGGGTTGTTTGAAAATTCATATATTCTTTTATTAAATAAATATATAAATATAATATAAAAATAATGATAAAAATAAATATATAAATGTAATATAAAATTATTTTCTAAAAAAAAAATATATTATATTTTATAATTTTTATTTTAAATATTACGATATAAAGAAAATGTTTATAATAATATTGACAGTGTATATATTTTGTAATATAAAATTTGTATCATTTTTAATATTTTTAGTTTGTATTTAAACCATAAATCTTGGAAATATTTAAATATAAAAAAGAAAAATGTCGAAAGAAAACTGAACACACACATTGAATGCTCCTAAAAAATTAGTTAATTTAAATGACAAAAAAAGATTGTTAAATTATTAAATTTATACCTCATAAATAGGAAGGCAAATCGAATCGATGAAACCAACTTGCATGATCGGCAATTGGTCCTCTTTTTCCCTATTCATAATATCCTGCAATAATATAAATAAAATAATATTATTTTGTATTTTTTTTTTGTTCACACACAATATTGTATAAAACTGAATAAAAAAAAAAGAAAATAAATAAATAAATAAAATTCGATAATAAATACTTACGATAGGAGTAATATTTAAAGTTCGCCTTTCAATATCACCCTGTTCGAAAAATTCGCTGCTAACTAATTCGGCAACCCTTTTCTCAACTTCCCATGGTTTCGTAATGGCCGCCAAATCGCATACGGTCATCAACATACCACGTAAAAGTTCACGATGATCTCCGTATGCCCAATTATAACCGCCACCTCGTGCCAGACTGAAAAAGGCTCCCCTTTTTCGAAAATATACAGCAAGATCCGTCGATAGTATAGCTTCCTCGAGTACCTTTACCACTCGTGAATATTCTTCCGGTGATAGATTAGATAATATTTGATTACCCTGACTGCTTAGTATCATTAAACATTGATCGAAATGATGATGTTCCATGGTTGACGTTGAATAAAGTTGTGCCAATGGTGAGGAAGCCCTTTTAAAAATTACAAATATTCAATTATACGTCATTGATAAATTATTTTTTTAAATATATATAAATATGTATATTAAAAATTTCAAATTTATAATATTTATAATTGTAATATTTTTATAAATTTAAAATTAATATTTTCATTTGAAAATATATTATGTTATTTAAATTTTAAATTTATTTCAGAACAAATATATGTATGTATTTTTAAATTTATTATAATTTAATATATTATTATTTAATTTATAATACTATTTATAATTTAATATATTGTTATTTATTTTTATATAATTTAAATTTATTATATTTATTAATTATATTATATAATATAATATTATTATATATATAATAAATTAAATATATATATATATTTAAAATTTATTATAATTAATATAAAATAAAATTGAACGTATTAAAATTTAATATATTATTGTTTATTTTATAATTTAAATTTATTAAAATAAAATATCATATGTATATGTCAAAATATATCTAATAGTATAATTAAATTAGATGAAATTAATTGTTAATAATAAATGACAAATACTTACTTGATTTGAAATGAATTGTTGGTACCACGATGATCAAGATCGTGACAAAGACAAGCAATTATCAATGCCAGACATTCGATTTCACCGAAAACCTTCCACCATTGTGTAGCCTATGTTTTAATTAAAAAAAAAAAAAAATACAAAATAGAAATAAATAAAATTTCATTATATCTCGATATATATATATATATATATACAATACATTAAAAAAAAAAAAATAATTAAAATGATACTCTCTCTGATAAGATTTAATTAATGTAACGTAATCGATTAAAATTTAGATTGACTCACTGTTAATATTGCGAACATCATTTGTGCGACATTAAAGGCGTGTCGCCAATTGTGATAAGTTACGTTACGATAATTTTTTTTAACGCTTAGCAACCATCGACATAATACGTCGTAATCAATATGAAAACGTTCGACAAAGTCAAGATCAAGAAACATTCGTAAACATGCTGTCAGAGTTTCGTCATCCTCCATGTAAATGTCATCGAATTTGAAATCGTGCAATTGAAAATGCGCCGAGGATGGTACTCTTAATCCCTGCGGATAAAAAAAAAAGAAAAAAGAAATATATTTAAAAGATAATTTAAAATGTGATTGATAATGTTTAAAAGTGATAGATTAAATTTTTATGTACGAGTTAAGCCTACTTTTTTACATGACAAATCGATTTAACTAAATTTTCAGATTCTTTTTTTGTTTTTGTTTTTTTGTTTTTGTTTATTCGAGTTTTATCATCGTTGATTTTATTTTACATCGATATAATATTAAATTTTTATATTTGTAATTATTTTTTATTTTGATATTTTTGGGTTTAATATTTTTTGTAAATCGATTTGACAAATTAATGGCTTGATTCATAAATTGAAATAATATTAGAGAAATTTATATATTTTTAACGTTATTATTCGTACGAATTATTATTATTTTTGTTGTTGTATTTTATGATATAATTATAAGTTTATATTATATAATAATTTATATTATAATAACTTAATAATATTATAACAACTCATATTATATATTATATTATTATAATATAGTATATATATTATATAATACATTTTTTAAATTAAATGTATTATAATAATTTATAATATTATAAGTTATTGAAATATATATATATATAACTTTTATTATAATATATGTAACTTATATTATAATATTATAAGTAATTTTAATATATAAGTTATTATATAATATAAACTTTAATAACTTATTATTTTAATAATAATAAAACTATTTAGTAATTTYTAAAATAGTAAAACAAGTATCAACATTTCTCTACTTTTTTTCTTTTCTTAATATTTTGTATTTTACGATTCATGAAAAATTTTAATTAAATCGTTTTGAAAAGTAACTTAGTTCTTTATTAAGAAATATCATTTTTAATTCGGAAATTACTTTTTAAATAACCTAGTTGAGATTATAAGAACAACGTAATACCATTAGCAAAGATAAACATCACTTTGAACTCTCATTTACGTTTCAATCCCTATAATGGTCTATTAAAGTAAATATTATACATATATATATTTATAAGAAATTATAAAGAAAACTAACCCTCAGTCTTTGAGCATCCTCTAAAGAAGCCGATGCATGGTAACTCAATACTTCCAAGGTCACACTTTGTTTGGCCATAGCTACAACAGCTTTCTCGTACCTGTAAAAATAAAATTATAATTAACAACAACATATACATTTATATATATATATATATATTCACACACATGCACGTATACACATACAAAAATGAAATAAAGAATATACGAATGAAATAATTTCAATAAATTTGATTTCACATACTGACATGTGCGTATTGTGTATGCCCATGCCGCAGAAAATGGCGAACGCCTCAACAAAGTTCTCGTCATTTTTCGTAAATTGTAGATCATCGAATTTGTTGATCAATTGTATAACACCAATTATTTGCCCAGATGAATTTTTGATGGGCATGCAGAGAATGGTACGATGTCGAAAACCCGTACCTTCGTCCACCGATGGATCAAATCTTGGATCTTCGTATGCATTTGGTATACTGACAGTCTAAAATGAATATATCAAATAATTTATAAATAATAATAAATAATAAATTAAAAATTATTCAACTCATTCGAGACTAAGAATTTTTTCAAACATGGTTTCCAGGAACCATTTCTTTTTTTTTTTTCTTTTTTATTATATTATTAATTTTATAATACCAAATTTTGTTTTTCAATAGTTTAAAGATACTTCACTGTTTTTATACTTTTTATTTATACAATTTATTTATACCAAAAAATTATTTAAACTATTATTAGTAATACCAAAAAAAAAAAAAGAAAAAAAATTTATTTCAACGAATACTTTACAAAAAATAATTGATAATACACAAGGGGTGTAATTAGTCTCGAATGGTTCACAAATTTATTTTTAATTAAATCTAACGAGAATTTTTTATTTAGATCTTGAATCATTGATTTTGTTTTTTTTTTTTTTTTTTTTTTTTTTTTTTTTTTTTTGTAAACTTTAAACTTTGTAGAGGGATTTTTTTTTAGATATATATATATATATACATTGTGCAAATAGTAAGAAAGATGCAATGTTTAAATGTTTCGAAGAAAATGAAAGGGAAAAAAGTTTTAACGTGAATTTTCTTATATAACAATTCGTTTCCCATTACATGGAAAAATACAATTTTTATAGTTTAGTATTAATAATGATATTAGTTGACGTACCAATATGCAAATAACGAAATATCCAATAATATTTCCTCAGTATTCCATTTCATTCAAATTTATTCTAATATCGTTGTATTACCTACTTCCTTGTCTAACTATTTCATGTTAGATAGAAAAAATACATTTTTTACAGTTTTATTATTAATATTAGTTGACATTAGAAATATGAAAGTTCAAAATATTAACATGCAAATAACAAAATCTCACTAATGTGTTTTTTTTCCCTCCCATTGAGGTATTCCATTTCGTTCAAATTTATTTTAATATTTCGTCCTATTTTTTATCTACATCTTTGTCCTAATCATTTCGCGTTAAATAAGAAAATACATTTTTTACAGTTTTATTATTAATATTAGTTGACATTAAAAATATGAAAGTTCAAAATATCAACATGCAAATAACAAAATCTCACTAATGTGTTTTTTTTTTTTTTTCCCCCATTGAGGTATTCCATTTCGTTCAAATTTATTTTAATATCTCGTCGTATTTTTACCTAGATGGAAAAAATACATTTTGTTATAGTTTATTATTATTAATGATATTATTCATTGGAATATACGAATATGCAAATAACACAATCCCACTAATATTCTACTAAATTTGTTTTCTTTTTTTTCATTCATATTTTTATTTCGTTGAAATTTATTGTCACCAAGGTGTTTGTCTAGTCAATGGTTTTTCCAATCAGATTTGTCACTTACAAATTAATATTTTAAACGCGATTAGATTCTTATCCATGCAAAGGTGCCACGTGACTTGCTGTTCCATCTTAATCGATTCGATTTTATGACGTTAATAATATACGTACTACTGTATATAATAAATGACGTCATTTAAATTTAACGTTATGCAATTTTCTTCATTCACAACTTTCCTCGTTGCATTTTTCTACCGATAATTTATTTCTTGAACTATAATACTTTGTTTAAAAATACAATATCATATACATGTTTTATTTTTACCGTTCTATTTAACTAAAGTGGTGTTCACGATTCGCTGTCAAAGAAAAAAACAATAATTATCAGTATATCGATTTAATTATTAATTTATTAATGAAATAAAAATAATTGATTTTCTTTTTTTTTTTTTTTTTTTAAATCTTCCATTATTTGGTTTAGGCATATATTTGATTTAGAATTTTTGTTTAATTTTTTGCAATTTATTTTAAGAGAAAAAGAATTATTAAAAAAATTATGCATGACAGTGGAGAGATATGAGGGGTGAGTTGAAAAGAATTTATCCAATCACACGAAAGGGATTGAAAAGTTATGAGCTCTATGGTTTCCCACACTGTGACAGGATTAAAAGTTTTCAACCCTTTTGGTACTTGGCTCGAAACTTTTCAACTCACCTCGTAGCTTGGGTTAAAACTTTTCAAGCCTTCTCGCGATAGGTTCAAAACTTTCCTTACATATTATTATTCTTATATATATATATGTATATATTATATTTAAAATTTGTCCTTCTAGTTTTGCACAATGTATTTGTATTATAGTATTGTAATAAACCTTCATACAACTCTGTGTAAAGTTTGAAACAAAGATCATTGTTTTTTCAAGATCCAACGAAATTGTTGTAAATAACTGTATAACTAGCTGACATCAACTTTATACTTATTTTTTTATAACAAATAAGTAATATTACTAATTGTAAATCAATCTTAAAATGGATTATTTAAATTCGATCCTATTTAAAGTATGTTTCCTTCGAAAATTCCATAATTTGTTATCTCAGTAAAGAGAATACATTTATTTGATTAATTTCTTTAAATAAAAAAAAAAAAATAATAAAAGTAAAAAAAAATGTAAAGAAAAAAAAAAGAAAGAAAACTCAAGGTGAAAATTATTGCATTATTATTTTTTTTTTTTTTTTTTTTTTTT